CTTCCAATAATTGAAAGGTATTTGAAACAGTTTTTTCATTTGAATAAATAATGACTATTGGTTTAATTGCTTTTATTTTTAGTATCGTAAACATAAAATATCGTATCGTAAAAATATTTCGAATAAGTGAGAAACAATGAACGATGAATAATTTTAATTTTCAGTGTATAGAAATAAATATATTTATAAAAATTGATTTACACAAAAGAATCAAGATGGTGTAAATAAAATCGCAAAGTACTTTATATAATATTTTATTTAAACTAAAATAATACACAAGCAATAAAAAGTTTAAAAAATTCTTCACCAAACATTAACCTGTTCTATATTGAGTATGTTCTCTTATCCAGTAACTGATACGTTGAAAAAATATAGTGAATTATGGTTTATAACTCCAGATTAATTGTTAGTAGTTGGCAATATTAGTATGTCATGTTAGACATAGCAGTGGACAGAAGAAAGATAAAATTTCAGGAATATGTACTTAAGAAAATATTAATAAACGTAAGAAAACATGAACTATTGTTTAACAAAACATGAACAACAAACCACATATACAACAATATATAAACACATTAAACCATATGGAATGGGTAGGATTCTAAAATAAAAATATGCTTTTTTGTCACTGAAAATTGTATAATTTTATGAACAAAGCTTACAAAAAGTAAAAAAAATAACAATAACAATTAAAATTTACTAAAATTACAAAAATTGTCAATATCACATAATAAAAGATAGTAAAATATATAATTCATTGCAAAATCTAACTAAATTGCAAATTGCATAAGAAAACCTTAGAAAGCAGTTTACGAATAAGTTTTAGTTGCTGCATGTGATACCCAAATATAAAATACTTTAGTTGTTCGTACCTAAACGTACTGTAATTTCTTAGTTTCTCGTTAACAAACTCCTTCACTGAATATTATGGTCTTTCAGATAGATAGGCTTTTGTTAATTTATAGAACTTAAGGAAAGACGTTGTAGATTTAAGTTGCAAAGAGGGTTAATTGTATAATTTTTTGCCGAATATAATATAGATTTCTTTACTAACTCAGAGGACAGAATCGATAAATACATATCAAAGGTTCAATTTCTGGGGGAGTATTCATGATTGGGTCTTGCTGGAAAAACATGTAGATGTTTACCAATTAAGAAAACAGTTTCTAGAATATACAAAGAGGGAAGAGTTAAAATTCCGTGATTTTTGATGTAGCTTCTACAATGTATTATTCTACTGAGGCCAAAAAAATACCATATTGCTCTTTTTTGTGATTTAAAAATAACATTATATTGGGTAGTTGTACTAGAACCGCAAAAAGGAAGGCCATATCGAAGGTGAGATTCCAACAAAGAAAAATATTTTATTTTGGAAGATGCTAAATTCTGCTTCAAAACAGATCTTATTGAATAGCTGGCTGAGACTAGTTTTTTACTTAACAAATCTATATAAAGGAACCATTTAAGGTTGCTGTCTGTAAAAATATCATGAAATTTTAAAGAAACAACGATGCTGATTTGGCTGTTATTAAGAAGCGAGGGTTGAAGAGCTCCTTTATAGAATAATACTACTTTCTTATTCATATTAAAAGAGAGTAAATTATAGTCGGACCAGGTTTTTATTTTAAGTTGATCAGAAGATATAATTGCACGAAGAGTTAAAGATAATCAAAGTGGAGGACCCAGTACTGAACATTGTGGTACTCCATATTCAATGCTTTTGTGACTATAGTCAGTATCATTTACTCTAACTATTTGTTTTCTATTTCTCAAGCAAAATTGAAACCAATGCAAAGAAATACCTCGAATTTTGAAGAAATTAATTTTTTTATCAAAATGTCGTGAATTACGCAATCAAAAGATTTGGCATGATCACAAAAACAGTGGCAGCGTAAAGATTATTGTTTAGTGCTTGATAGACCTCATGTAGTACAGAAAATATAGCATCACTGGTACATTTATTAGATAAAAAGCTGAACTGACTTCGTGATAAATAAATGTTGATTTCAACAAGAAAGGACATAAGTCGGGCTTTTATAAATCTTTAATCATTTTGGATAGGATGTAATTTTTGTTTTCATTCTTCTTACATATTGTTGTAAATACTTTATTTTACTTTTTTGACTCTTAACAGCATTTTTTAACACTCTAAAATGTTTCTTGGCCCTTTCAGGTATTGAAAAATCGCTGCTAGACATGTCTTCAATGGTTTTATTTCTAAAACATATAATTAGGTTTTCATAGTTATAATCCTTGTTTTTATAAATTAAACTAAAAACTCACTTTTATATAAATATTACGTGGAACATATGAAAAATTATTTTCACCAAGTAACAACTCTACAGTTTCAGATTCTGATGCTGTAATGGTGCTCAAAGATTCGTTTTCTATATCTATATTTTCCTTGTTTTCTTCATTGTCATTTAAACATCTAGAATATTCAATTTATGTACATTAAAGAAAAATATTAAAACTGGTTTAAAATTAAAATAATCTCATACAAAATTTAGCCAAAACTCACCTCCTTTTTAATAGTTTAGAAGAATTAGATTTTACATTAAAGCCCAAGTCTGTCTCCATAGTACATTCTTTAGTATCATGAAACTCCTCAAATAGTGTGAGTAATTTTAATATTAAAATGAAATAAGTAATCAAAATCCACATTTAGATTTATTTGTAAATTTAATTAACATATTCGATACCAGCTCACCTTTTTGATGTTCTATAAAAATCATCCATATCAATACTACTGGAAGTTGTTTCTTTATTTTTCATATCGTTTGTAGAACTGAAACATGAATTAATATGCTATGAGTATGCATTATATTTATTATACTCTATATGGTAAATTACATAGAAATTCGTTATAGTTACCTTAGTTCTGGTGATTTATGATAAATATTTATTGAAACAGTTCCCTTCCTCAAATTAACCCGTCCACTTAGTTGTATAATTAGATCATGCTTTCTAAAGTGTTCTGAGCAGACCATAGCAGTTTTGGTTACTTGTTGTTCTTTATTTAAGCCGAACACAGACAACCACATATCCAGCAGCGGTTGATTCTTTACTGGGAACCTGCATATGATATTTCTTTGAAATTAATATATTTATAGCAATTATAGTGTAGATTAGAAAAAATAAATAAATGTATTTATAATACTAAAAAATTTACTTTATTTCACGAAATTAAATTTCAATTCATGTCAATAATTAAGTAATATCACATGCCTGTACTACGCCCATGGACATAATTCCAATGTTTTTAATACTTACGAATAAAATGACAGTTCTGTATGTAAATATGCAGTTTTCCTGCATACAACACAGTTACGCATCATTAGGACACTTAACTATGAACTATTCTTCAATTCAAATTTAAAATATATTAAAAAATTAACCAAAATGTCACAAATAAGGAAATTATTTACTCAAAGGTAAACACTACAACGCCATGTTCTTTTCCTCAAATCGCTACGATTGGTTAATATTACCAATGATGCCAAGTTTTACATAAAGTTAACATTATCAGAATATATTTTCTTTTAATAAATTAAAAAATTAATGTTTTCCTTTTAATTCCTTGGTTGCGAAATGAGTATATCTAAAAATAGTTTAGACTTACTAGATAATACATTTTTATTTATAAATTAAAAATAAATTATACTAAAAAGCAAAAATTATTGCGAAGATTGACTTGAAAAAAATAATGACAACGTCAAATTAGGGATTTGTGTCTATGACTGTGACTATCTCATGGCTTCATGTAAATATGTAAATAGCCCGGTCCTTCTTTATTTATACGTCCATGATTTTTTCCTGATATTTTTCGAATATTTAACCAGACTGTCGGTAAAGGTGTTGTACTGTTTATATTTGAGACATATTTTGTCCAGTTGGTTTTTCGAGCATTTTTTGTTATATATCGAGCATGTGCTCTCTGTTTTTTGTATTCAGTTATGTTAGTTGTGTTACTATGTTTCTTCATTCTATTAAAAGATGCTTTATATTGTTTGAATGCCTTTTAACATTCTGTATTCCACTATGGTACAGGTCTGTGCTTCCTTAATATATCAGTTTTTCCTATATGTGTTTCTGCCGCGTATGTAATAATATTCCTAAAAATGTTGATAGTTTCATTTATATCAGTGTTTTCAAAACTAGATTGTTGTGATGCTATGTCTGTTTCTATGGCATCAGCGTACTTGTCCAAATTAGCGATATCCCATATAAAAAGGGTAGGGTATCCTAATTAAGAGCCATTGAAAGAGTTGGTCACAAATCGATAGATCAATTGCCGATGTTGTACCAATATGTACATTAAATCTGGTTGGTCTTCCGTCATTGAGAATGTTTAAATTTTCTTCAGTTAACAAGTCTTCGATTAGTCTGCCTTTGATATTAAAATTTGTTGAGCCCCACATTGGGTTGTGACTATTGAAATCTCCTACTATTAGCCTGGGCATAGGTATTTGTGAAATGAGTGCTTTAAGTCGGTTAAGGTGAGGTAAGGTCATTAATGTATTAGGAAGCTTTAACTGAGAAAGCTAAAGCTTCGATGTGTGTTTTTAGAGGAATCGTTTGTGCTTCAAAAGTATTTTTAACATAAATGGCGACTCCACCACTTGCTTTTTCCTGCTTGTTTCTATTTTGATGAAATGTTGAAAAAATTTTAAATATGTGGCAATATTGGTCTTGGAAATTCCTTTTTTGGGACAAATGATAGCAGGGGTAATATCATTAATTAAAAGTTTTAGCATTTTATGATGGGTATAAAACTCATTTATATTCCACTGTAATAAATTAAATGTTATAGTTATAATTATTGAATATTTAGCTCCTGGAATAATTTAGTCGATGTATCTGTTCAGGTTGTCTTTTGTGAGCTGTCTCGTACTTTTTTTATTTAGCTTTGTACATTTCAATTTTAATGAGCGCTCGGTTGTATATGAACGAATTTTGGTTAAGAGTTGTCTAAATTCTGGAATGTCTACTGTATAATTTTATTTATAACGCTGATAAACATCTTTTCTTGCATGAGTCTTTTCAAATAAATCAACTATTTCGTCAAAAGTTAGTATTTGCTTTTTGGAATTGAACAATTTTTTAATTGGTTGCGTTATCGTTTCTAAAGGTATTGTTGGTATTTTCATTTTTATTGTTTTTTGTTTCTGAGTTGACTTTGAAAATACATCGTCACTAGCTGATGTCTCAATGGGAGGTAATATTGCTTCAGCTACAGTTCGTTTGGAAGACGATTTAGATGTATTTTCCTCGTTGGGTACGCTAAATTCTTTTGGTGTTGGATTCTCTTTATTTTTATTAACCGTGGAAGAATTATTGTTTAGACTGGAAGGTGAAGGCTGGTAAGTTATGATTATGTGAGATGATACGACTGATGAGGTGGGTATATTTGGTTTGGATATCAATGGCATTGTATTATCTGTAGTTGATGTGTCAAGAGATATTAGGTTGGTTGTAGATAATATTTTTGTTAGTGACGTAGAATTATTTCATATGTTTGTAGATGTGCATGTTGTTGAAGATGTAATAGCAGTCATTTCTGTTGAAGTCACCGTAGTAAATTTGTTTTTGTTGAAAGTGTAGCAGCTGGAATGGCTATGTCTGAGTGATTTACATTTGCTGAGCAACAACTGGAAATATGGCCATGTTATTTGCAAAGGAAACATAAATTGTTTAGTGTCAAAAAAATTCGATTGGTAGTATCTTCATGAGTTATTAAAATGGAATCGGGAATTGGGCCTGTGGGTGGATATATGTAAATATGTCGACGGAAACTGAGTACTCGTTTGTATTCAGGATCCCTATAAGCAAAAATGACATTAATGAAGTTGGTTTTAGCCCTAAAATCAGTAGTTCGTTTTATATTACCTTATGCGGGATAGTGGAAGAAAAATTGGATATAAGGAGTCTTTTACTTGGAGTAATTAGTCTACGGACTTGAATTTGTGTATTGTTTACAGTGATGAAACCTCTGCTGTTTGAAAAAAAATCATCTACGACTTGTTTGGTTGAGAAATAATTACAGATGCTATTGTTGGTGATTATTGATGAAAAACTTTCTGTGAAAAAAGAATGTGTTTTGAACTAACTAGAGATCTTACCGCTAACAAGTATTTTTCTAATTTAACATCATTGAGAGAATTAAAAACTACTGCTTGTAGCTTGGTTGGATTGGTTCTTGTTGTTTGCTGGCTGCAGCTGAGTAAGATAAAGTTTTTTGTGATGTGGATTGCGATAATAATATATCGCTGTGATGAGTGACGTCAAATTCCATTTCTCAACATCATTTAATTTCGTAAGTAAGAACCTGTTGCGCTTCGGGTTTTGATAATTGTGTTTAACGGCAAAAAACTGGTGTCAATTAATCACTGGTGTTAGTTATTGACGGTTGTATAAAATTCTTTGGTTATGAATTACTGATTAATATAAAAATATGTACTCACAGAAAATGTTTTTATACACACTGAACTAACACTATTATACTTGGTGTTAACGTAGTATAAGAATTCTATGATTGGTGTTTATAAGTTAAATTTACTAATTTGTCAGGATCGATCAAAAATCATGTGTACTTATTCGATATTAGTCAAATCTCCCGGTACATATTATCTGAGCTTATAACTGAGACATTACGTTATCTGCCGGGTTCTTGGGTATCTCTTGCCTAGATATGCCGCATCTTGTGACTGGATGCTGCAGCGTCTACTAATTTTGTAAGGAACACTTCTTCTTCTTCTGGTTCCTATCCGTTTCGGATGTTGGAAATCATATTGGCAATCATAACCTTGCTCGCTGCGGCTCGAAACAGCTCCGTTGAGGTTTTCTTAAACCATGTTCCTTAATTCCGCAGCCATGATATTCTCTTTCTACCGGGTCCTCGCTTACCTTTGACTTTACCTTGCAATATAGACTGTAGCAGGGAGTAACGGTGCTGATTTCTCATAACGTGTCCCAGATATTGCAATTTTATGCGTTTGATCGTAAACACAATCTCTGGTTTATTTTTCCTAGAACTTCCTTGTTCGTGATCCTTGCTGTCCATGATATTCTCAGCATTCTTCTATAAAGCCACATCTCAAATGCTTCAAGTTTTTTAATAGTGGTGTCTGTAAGCGTCCATGCCTCCGCTCCGTACAACAACACAGAGAAAACATAGCATCTCAAATATCTCATTTTTGTATCAAAAGATACGTTGTGACTTTTGAAGATGGCGCTCATTTTGTTAAAGACCGTTCTTGCCTTTCCTATGCGGCACTTTATTTCCTATAAATTGCTCCACAGTTTGTTAATAATAGTTCCCAGGTAACAATACTGTTTTACTCGCTCTATCTGCGTCCCATTAATGTATAGATGAGCCTAGTTTATATTCTCCTTGCTGATAATCATTTGTTTCGTTTTGTGGGTATTAATGTTTAGTCCGTACTGTTGACTGTACTCGTTTATTCTGTCCATTAGCCTCTGAAGTCCCTCTAAACTATCTGCTATCACCATGGTGTCGTCGGCATATCTAACATTGTTTACTCTTTCACCATTTAGAAGGATACCTTCGTCGATTCCGTAAAGAGCCTCGTTAAAAATTTTCTCTGAGTACATATTAACCCATTAGAGTGAGGAACACATGCAACCCAAACGTACACTTACGAGTAACTGATGCTGTTGTTACTAGCAGTCGAAATAACTTTTAAACTTTCTGAGTTGCAGTATAAGTAAGTATTTATCATACTTCTGCATCACTAATTTGTGACTATTTTTTAAGTCTTTCACGAGAGAGAAGATAGTCCGAGTTCTTGTATTTTCTACAATGAATAGCTTGCTACTATCCTATGGATGCTTTATTTTTACGTGACTTAGGGTAGAAAAAAGCTTGACGTCACAGATATCGGAATTCCATGCTATTGTACTACCGTACCAAATGTGCAATATGTACAATATAATGATTACCGTACTTTCTTGAAATTGGCGGCAAGTAAATACAAGTAGAAAGTACAAGACTAGAAACATTCTTTGAATAAATAAATATTTAATAACCAATTTGTGAGAGTTTCCAAGAACCAATATAACGACAGTAAAATAGAGTAACGCATGTATTTACCTTGTAATACTAATTGGCGTTTTCTACATCTAGGCGCTGCATTTTTAAAAGTATATTTTTAGCGAGTGCAATATGCTAATGGCATAGTAATATTCGCGGCAAGTCTAGCAGATATCGTCAAAAACTTACAGTATTTACCTTTTAATTGTATAGTATTTTAATTGAAACGTGTAGATATCTCTAAAATTGCCGTTTTATTTAGAATCAAATACTTATACCACTATAAAGCCATAGTTAATAGATTTAAAATATTCTGTTCTACATAGAAATAGAAAAAATCTAATTTTCGCTAAAAAACAGTTAGGGTAAACTAGTCCATAGTGGGATGTTTTTTTTTTCAAAAGTGTATAGCACCTTGATTAGGCGTTTGTAAATTATAGTAAGATAACCTATGCATGAGTATCGATGTAAGGAAGCAAACTAATAATATTGTCAAGTAATTCTTTATTTATAATAAATGTTATTCAACAAGTCCCATTATGAACCACTATATGGTCATTGTGGGAATCATAGTGGTCCATAGTGGGATTTTTAGTAAAAAAACTCTTTTACTCTATTTCAAATCGGAACAGATTAACAGAAAACATAAATTGGCGAGCAGCCTTGGCTGTACTTTCACTAATGCCAGGAGGGAGCAGCTTTGATAAGATATCTTCTGCTTCTACGGTATCTACATCGGGTTTATTGGGGAAATCAAATTTGCCGACTAGAATTATTTTTATGAAAGAGATATTATATTCATCTCCACTTATTTTAATAACCTGGCCGACATATTGTTTAACAGTTTTTTCGTCATGTATCTTACTATAACAGAGTCATGACTTTGAATAGAGTCATGACTTTTTTTTCCAATTTTTCTTTATGCTGTTCCTCTATGGCATCTTTTATGGGGGTGTCTGTTATTATTGCTGACTGTAGCTTCTTTCTGCTTCTTCTAAGCTTTTTTCTAGGAGCAGCGTTAACATGTGGCCTAATTTGGCCAATACTTGGGCTTACATGGCGTGGTTCTTTTACATTCTGAACATCTACATCCTGATCATCTTCCACAACCTGAACACCTTCGTTACCATTTCCATTTTCATTTTCTTCAAGCCTATCAGTGACATCATCATTAATTAGCCTATATTTGTTCACTGCTGAACGTAGGCCTCCCGTAAAATTTTTCACCTATTTCGATCTTGAGCTTTTTGCACCCAGATTGTGGTGATGCGCCGACGTCCATCTAGTCGGTGGTCGTCCTCTGCTTCGATATTCATCTTGCCTCGGTCGCCATTCCAGAATCTTTCTGGTCCATCTACCATCCGTTAATCTGACAACATGTCCAGTCCAAGCCCATTAAGCCATGGCTATTTTTTCAACTGCATCTGTGACTCCTGTTTTTCTTCTTATTTCTTGGTCATCATCATCATATAACGGGGGTCCTACGGCGATTACCGCTTCCCGCATTTCAGCCTCCATCTTTTCCTATCTCCCCAATCTCCCTCTTCTAAGCCTCTAGATTGCATTGTTTTTGTAATTTCTCTTCTCCAGGAATTTGGTGGTCTTCCCCTTTTCCTTTTTTCTGGCGGAACATACATTAAGGCTTTCTTTGGCCACCGCTCCTCCTCCATTCTCATCACGTGACCATACCATTGTAATTGCCTTCCTTGTATTCTATCTGAAAGAGTATCTCTAATTCCTGTACGGTTTAGTATTTCCTCATTCCTGATTCTTTCCATTCTCGATACTCGACATGACCTTTTAAGATAATCCATTTCCACAACGTCTACTTTATCTCGTTCATTCTTTGTCATCGTCCAACATTCGGCACCATATGTGGTAATTGGTTCTACAATTGCTCTGTATACGCGAAGTTTGGTATGCATCTTTATTTTATTAGACCACAGTAATGAATTCAGTATTCGCATGCATTTTTTCCCTTGGGTTATTCGGTTTTGTACATCTATCTTAACTCTGCCATCTGCTGATATGATGCTTCCTAGATATTTATACTGGTTGCAGCCTTTTATGACTGCGTTTTCAAGCCTCAGATCTGTGGTATTTCCTCCAATTTTTAAATATTCTGTTTTGCTTATGTTTAAAGTAAGCCCCCATTTGGCATATTCCTCAAATAATTTTCGATTCATATAATTTATATCTTCCTCATCGGTTGCAACCACCACCTGATCATCTGCAAACAACAATGTATACAGAGTTTCTTGTCCCACTTCGATGCCCATAAATCTACATTTATTTCTCCAATTCCTCAATGCTTCTTGGACGTATATTTTAAAGAGTGTCGGTGACAAACAGCATCCTTGCTTTAGGCCTTTAGTGACT